GTACGCAACTTATAAGCTTTTGAAAAATTCAAAGTAGAAAAAGTACCATTTCCGGTAATCGGAAGTCGCTCAAAAGGTGATCAGGATCTACGATTTTGATAAAATAAAATATGAAATTTCATCAACCTAGCTGTAACGGTACTCAAGTTATCGTGTTTACACACACACAGACACACAGACATACGGACAGAATTGCAAAGTCCAGTTTTTACGACTCGATAACGCATAAAACGCCAAAACGTTTATATATTTGTATTTATAATTTTTGCCTGATTAAAATAAGTCCTCTATACTCTGGATGTGATGAAGGACTGAGGAGTAAAACGGTGAAAACTGTCAAAATTTCATGTTATTTTTGTGCACGATTACAATACTTTCTCTATACTTCGTATATACGTGAAAGTAAAAAAAAAAACGGGAGTGATCTCCCTAAACTTTCTCGAATATTCTTATATAAAACAACAGGGGATAGCAACTCGGGAAATAGACATGATTTTTGCAAGCTTTTATTTAACTTGCTTTCCTCTGTCTGTCTAGATCGAAACGCCCGTGTGAAATTGTAGGCACTTCTAACTGCCTGATACTGTTCGTTGTTGGTACGTGGGTCAAGACATGAAGACAATGCATCGTGACATTCAATTTGACTTAATTGGTCGCCTAATTAATTTTTTTAATGAATTAATTAAAATTTTAATAGGCCTTGTAAGTCTCGTTTTCTCTGACTTTGAATTAGAAATCTGTCCTGGTGTACAGAGTTTTGTAATGTGGGGTGTTCAAAGCATTTTGCTTGTTTGGTACGTTTTGATGAATCGTTTAGATTTGCGAGTAACGGCGGAAGGCTGTTGCTGATATGGTTTCGTGGTAAACGGAAAAAAAGTCACAGGAAAAAAAAAACACAGAAAAAAAGTCACAGTTTTTGCTAGGAAAAAAAGTCACAGAAAAAAAGTCACAGTGGAAAAATTTTATCGGAAAAAAAGTCACAGAAATAAAGTCACAGAAAAAAAGTCACAAAAATCTTTTTAGAAATATTTTTATTAATTTGTTAAGAATTGTAAAATTTTGTATGTTTATGGTTGTGGGTTGTATTTTTTGATAGCATAAATTATTTATAGACGTTAAAAGCATTATGATTTATAACAATTGTAAGTAAAAATACTCTAAGATAATTTACACAACAATCTCAACTTGTTACGTATTTATTTAAATACGCGGTAGAAAAGTTAATTATAAAAGAAATTTAGGCAAATTTTGCCGTAGGCTATTCTCTGGTCGGCCTCTACTCAGTAGGCATTGTCCGAACATATTTTGTGTTGTTGACGTTACGCGTCAATGACAGCCTTTGAACCTTGTCGGCTTTCTGTTTTGATCCTAAGTTTTGTTATGTAATGAGCGTGATAAATGTGGGCAGTAAAGGTGGTTGAACTAAACATAACTATTGTTGCCATGAGTTGAGGGCAGCAAGTCAGATGAACTTACCATTTCACGGTAATTTAATATTGGTATTTAAAAAAAAAACACGATGAAAACCGTGGACTTTGGAGCATTCTATTAAATGCTACTAATCTTAAGTTTAAAATAATTACAATCTACATACTTCATAATAAATATTTTAAGATGAATTATAAAAATTCCTATGCGTATACAGCCTACACACATTACATTACATTTAATTAATCCTAAGTTAATTTGCACTCTCTAAATATTTATTACATAAAAATATTAACAAATATCATGCAAATATATATTTGTGACTTTTTTTCCTGTGACTTTTTTTCCTGTGACTTTTTTTCCTGTGACTTTTTTTCTGTGTTTTTTTTTCCTGTGACTTTTTTTCCTACAATCGGTTTCGTAGGTATAAAGTATCGAAGTTTTAAAGGGTCATAATTTTTACGGTCTAGTGAAATCTGATTGGTAATAGAGAAATGAGAATGAACAGCGAATGCAGGTGATGAAGTATCGTTGTTCTGGAGTTCGGGAGTATTGATTCTTGTGGTATTAAGGTATCGAATTATATTGACTGTTAAAGTGTAGTAGTAGGTCCAGTGAAATCATTGTTGATTGGGAGTACCGTTTGTAAAGTTTGGTGAAGTTAAACGAGTTGGTGTCGTAGTTCTGGAGCATCGAGTCAAGTTATGTTTAGGTATCGAAGTTTGATGTGTTGTGAATGTAGTAGAGTATATCGAGTAGTCGAGTTTATCGTTAAGTTAGATGATTTCAATTCAGTACGAACACACTACAAAGAAAGATATTCATTCTTTAGTTGAAAATATTTAGTTTTTTTTAGGAATCTATTTTACCCTTTAAGTATTAATATATAATATTAAATAGGATGGAATTTATAACTAACCGGTAAACTTTTTTTTTCAAATTTTTTGTTATATTTAATCAGTAATTCTAGCAATGTCTAAAACAGTTACCCGTGTTTGAATTTTTGAAAGACATCCCTTTATTTAGGGGATCCAAAATTTTGTATACTTTTTAAAACCACAATATATAATTCATTGTATGTCATCAAAATTGAATAGAAGTATGTTATAATAAAGCTACCATTTTCAGACTTTCAAACAAAACATACAGTTTTGTAGATAAAATATATTGTTTCACAAGGTTACATAGCTAATATAAAAGACTTATTATAATTATTACGTAATGAAATTTAGAGAGTTTTATTGTGTTTTTCAAACATGTCTTAGTTACACTTGGCTAATTTAGCTATTCTTGCGAAAGTTATTTCCCTTATATATGAAATTCCTGCACCTTAGTTTGACCGCTTACATATAAACTAGCCATCGGTACCCGTTTCACGTGAATTATAGGCCTATATATTTTAAAATGTACTTGTTTGAGAAAATAATTTATGAAATAGTTATTGGTCAAAACGCAATGTGCTTTACTACACGCTGAACGATATAAGTGACAAAGCAAAGAAATAACTAATTAGCTAAAAATCCGACACATTTAACATAACACAGGCACACACTGATTAAGTGACTTAAATGATTCCGTTAAAAATCTGGCTATTCAATGGTCATTATGTTGTTTTTAAGTAATTTGTATTAGTTTGACCGATAAAATTGTATATATTTCATAGCGTACGTCATGATGAGTAGATCTATAGATCTAGATCTAAATCAAATTTGAATGAAGTAGTTCCTTTCTTTATAGTCTAAAATCGGAAGATTCACATATACAAAAAAAAGTTTTACTTGGTGTGTCTCGATCCCGCACCACCTGCGTGTTAATACACTATCATCTCAGCTATTTAGGTACCTGATAAAACGATTGTAGGAAAAAAAGTCACAGGAAAAAAAACACAGAAAAAAAGTCACAGGAAAAAAAGTCACAGGAAAAAAGTCACAGGAAAAAAAGTCACAGGAAAAAAGTCACAAATATATATTTGCATGATATTTGTTAAAACTTTTATGTATTAATTATTTAGAGAGTGCAAATTAACTTAGGATTAATTAAATGTAATGTAATGTGTGTAGGCTGTATACGCATGGTAATTTTTTTATAATTCATCTAAAAATATTTATTATGAAGTAATGATTTTAAACTTAAGATTAGAAGCATTTAATAGAATGCTCCAAAGTCCACGTTTTTCATCGTTTTTTTTTAAATACCAATATTAAATTACCGTGAAATGGTAAGTTCATCTGACTTGCTGCCCTCAACTCATGGCAACAATAGTTATGTTTAGTTCAACCACCTTTACTGCCCACATTTATCACGCTCATTTCATAACAAAACTTAGGATCAAAACAGAAAGGTTCAAAGACTGTAATTGATGCATAACGTCAACAACACAAAATATGTTCGGACAATGCCTACTGAGGAGAGGCCGACCAGAGAATAGCCTACGGCAAAATGTGCCTAAATTTCTTTTATAATTAACTTTTCTACCGCGTATTTAACTAAATACGTAACAAAATTTGAGATTGTTGTGTTAATTGTCTTAGAGTATTTTTTACTTACAATTGTTATAAATCATAATGCTTTTAACGTCTATAAATAATTTATGCCATAAAAAATACAACCCACAACAATAAACATACAAAATTTTACTATTCTTAACAAATTAATAAAAATATTTCTAAAAATATTTTTGTGACTTTTTTTCTGTGACTTTATTTCTGTGACTTTTTTTCCGATAAAATTTTTCTACTGTGACTTTTTTTTCTGTGACTTTTTTTCCTAGCAAAAACTGTGACTTTTTTCCTGTGTTTTTTTTTTCCGTTCACCTATAAAACACGGAGAATGAAAGAGGTATTTATAAAACGTATCTTACGCTAATATGCCTTTTCTTTCAAATTAAATTTTTATCCCACATTAGCCAGTTCCATAGCTAAATAAACAAAGATTTCTGTAAAATAATTAAGGCCCGAAAATAGTTTAATATATAAATTTATTTTTGGAATAGATTCTAGAGTAGATAGAGTCTAAATCTAGATCTTAGCGACTTAGCGACTTAGATCTAGTCTAGATCTAGAATCTCTAGATCTAGAATCCAAATAGATAAAATAAATTTTATAAGTTTAGGCCGGAAAAATTGTATTGTATACATTTCATAGCGTAAGTAGATCTAAATCAAATTGGAATGAAATGGTTCATTTCGTTTTATTCTAAACTCGGCAGATGACGTCATTAGTTAATGTATAAACATTAGTGACGTCATTGTTTCATGGGTTCTTTTTCACAACTATAAACACTTTTCCTGTTGCATAATGAAAACTGTTTTTCTACATTTGAATATGCCTTTATTTTTCTTCTTAAATAAAATGTTGGTTATACATTAAAACATCTATCATATTATTTTCAACCAAAGTCCGTATCAAGTTCTCCATAAATCGCTGCAGATTCTGATGTGATATCCGGCGAAAATATTTTGCGGACAGAGAGAGAGAGAAGTGCGCACATGGGCTTTTATATATTAGGATACAACTTTTAAGTTATTATTTGCTATTGTAAAAATTATATAGCGCTTAATTTCTAAACAACAGACAGACCATCGACCAGACGGACCAGCATACGGACCATCGACCAGGCGGACCATCGACCAACAGACCATCGACCAACAGACCATCGACCAGACGGACCATCGACCAGACGGACCATTGACCAGACGGACCATCGACCAACAGACGGACCATCGACCAGACGGACCATCGACCAACAGACCATCGACCAACAGACCATCGACCAGACGGACCATCGACCAGACGGATCATCGACCAGACGGACCAGCAGACGGAACATCGACCAGACGGACCATCGACCAGACGGACCATCGACCAGACGGACCATCGACCAGACGGACCATCGACCAGACGGACCATCGACCAGACGGACCATCGACCAGCAGACGGACCATCGACCAATAGACCATCGACCAGGCGGTCCATCGACCAACAGACGGACCATCGACCAGACGGACCATCGACCAGACGGACCATCGACCAGACGGACCAGCAGACGGACCATCGACCATCGACCAGACGGACCATTGACCAGACGGACCATCGACCAACAGACCATCGACCAGCCTGACTAGCACAGTGGACCAACGCTCGTATACCGGCACAGCTGTCAATACTTTAATGTCCCATTATGCCGAGCTGTACCTCTCTCACCTGCTCTCTGTATGTCGTGAGTACGTCTTTAGACCCAGCTGTTGCACGTCACGCTATTGACCGACATACAAACATACAAACACGAGCTTGACGTCCACTGTCTCGGCATGTCTGGTGAGTTTTTTCAAACACATGCACGTTGTCTAGTCAACAACAGCCAGCCGTCTAGTCAACAACAGCCAGCCGTCTAGCCAACAACATCCAGCCGTCTAGTCAACAACAGCCAGCCGTCTAGCCAACAACAGCCAGCCGTCTAGCCAACAACAGCCAGCCGTCTAGTCAACAACAGCCAGCCGTCTAGCCAACAACAGCCAGCCGTCTAGCCAGCCAACAACAGCCAGCCGTCTAGCCAGCCAACAACAGCCAGCCGTCTAGCCAACAACAGCCAGCCGTCTAGCCAACAACAGCCAGCCGTCTAGCCAACAACAGCCAGCCGTCTAGCCAACAACAGCCAGCCGTCTAGTCAACAACAGCCAGCCGTCTAGTCAACAACAGCCAGCCGTCTAGCCAACAACAGCCAGCCGTCTAGCCAACAACAGCCAGCCGTCTAGCCAACAACAGCCAGCCGTCTAGCCAACAACAGCCAGCCGTCTAGCCAACAACAGCCAACCGTCTAGCCAGCCAACAACAGCCAGCCAGCCAACAACAGCCAGCCGTCTAGCCAACAACAGCCAGCCGTCTAGCCAACAACAGCCAGCCGTCTAGCCAACAACAGCCAACCGTCTAGCCAGCCAACAACAGCCAGCCGTCTAGTCAACAACAGCCAGCCGTCTAGCCAACAACAGCCAGCCGTCTAGCCAACAACAGCCAACCGTCTAGCCAACAACAGCCAACCGTCTAGCCAACAACAGCCAGCCGTCCAATCCTACGGTCAACAACAGCCAGCCGTCTAGCCAACAACAGCCAGCCGTCTAGCCAACAACAGCCAACCGTCTAGCCAACAACAGCCAGCCGTCTAGCCAACAACAGCCAACCGTCTAGCCAACAACAGCCAGCCGTCTAGCCAACAACAGCCAGCCGTCCAACTATACGACCAACAACAGCCAGCCGTCTAGCCAACAACAACCAGCCGTCCACAGCCGTGTCCTTGAGATCCTGCCATCTCTAACCCTGTCCTGTAGAAACAACGCCCCTACACTTTCTCTAGGGTCGAAATCGCTGCATTTCGCCGGTCGATACCTCTAAAAGGCAGAGAAATCAATGACATATTTGACGCCGTATCGATGACCTTATTAATGTCTGCGGAGTAATCGATACCGCCTGGACGAGAGGAGATGACGACATCGGGCGAGACGCTTGTCACGGGTACACGCGCGTCTGACACACACTCGGATATCCAATCAAAAAGGTCAGTACAATTTGTGCCTCACTTTCAACTGTCTAGCGCTGTCGTTTGTTTATCTGTGTTAGGCTAGAAGATGGATGTGTCCATTCATGCACGGCCTACACATGTATTTTTACATTTAGAATCTATAAACTAACTTTCCACCAGCGCTAATGTCGCCGATAGTGGCTTTGGTTTGGTAGTAATAATAAAAAAAAATTAGTTCATGTGTTTCAAAACACTTTTAGAGAGGATTTTGTTTTGATGGTTGCAAATGAAAACGATCTAATCACTAATCTTGTGAGATTATGTTAGCCCAATTGTTTTATTATGGTTAGGTTATGTGTGGAGGTTTATGTAGAGCTATGCTTATATGCTATATGCTGGCTAATTGAAGTAATTAGTACTAATTAAGACTATATATTACTATTTAATTTCAAATTAATTAAGTCCTCAATACTAAATAGGCTGTTAAAATGTTTTCGCTGAGCCTCACTAGATGGCCTTAGCTAGAAGGTCCCACTAGATGACCTTAGAAGGTCCCACTAGATGACCTTAGAAGGTCCCACTAGATGACCTTAGAAGGTCCCACTAGATGGCCTTAGGAGGTCCCACTAGATGGCCTTAGGAGGTCCCACTAGATGGCCTTAGCTAGAAGGTCCCACTAGATGACCTTAGAAGGTCCCACTAGATGACCTTAGAAGGTCCCACTAGATGGCCTTAGCTAGAAGGTCCCACTAGATGGACTTAGCTAGAAGGTCCCAGTAGATGGCCTTAGACGGTCCCACTAGATGACCTTAGAAGGTCCCACTAGATGACCTTAGAAGGTCCCACTAGATGACCTTAGAAGGTCCCACTAGATGGCCTTAGGAGGTCCCACTAGATGGCCTTAGCTAGAAGGTCCCACTAGATGACCTTAGAAGGTCCCACTAGATGGCCTTAGCTAGAAGGTCCCACTAGATGGCCTTAGCTAGAAGGTCCCACTAGATGGCCTTAGCTAGAAGGTCCCACTAGATGGCCTTAGCTAGAAGGTCCCACTAGATGGACTTAGCTAGAAGGTCCCACTAGATGGCCTTAGCTAGAAGGTCCCACTAGATGGCCTTAGCTAGAAGGTCCCACTAGATGGCCTTAGCTAGAAGGTCCCACTAGATGGCCTTAGCTAGAAGGTCCCACTAGATGGACTTAGCTAGAAGGTCCCTCTAGATGGCCCATAGACCGGTCAGTGGATGGCCCCACGCTAGCTGCCAGATATTGCTTATGTTAATTTAATGAACCTGCACGCGCCGCCTGTGTGAGCTTGTTATTTGCTGGAGCAGAGCGGACCTCACAAGTGTGTGGGGGTGGATGGGGTGTAGTTTGTACCTCACAAGTGTGTGAGGGTGTAGGTTGTACCTCACATGTGTGTGGGGTGTAGGTTGTACCACACAAGTGTGTGGTGTGTAGGTTGTGCGTCATTAGTGTGTGGGGGTGTAGGTTGTACCTCACATGTGTGTGGGGGTGTAGGTTGTACCTCACATGTGTGTGGGGGTGTAGGTTGTACCTCACATGTGTGTGGGGGTGTAGGTTGTACCTCACAAGTATGTGGGGGTGTAGGTTGTACCTCACATGTGTGTGGGGTGGATAGGGTGTAGGTTGTACCTCACATGTGTGTGGGGGTGTAGGTTGTACGTCACTAGTGTGTGGGGGTGTAGGTTGTATCTCACTAGTGTGTGGGGGTGGATGGGGTGTAGTTTGTACCTCACAAGTGTGTGGGGATGTAGGTTGTACGTCACTAGTGTGTGGGGGTGGATGGGGTGTAGTTTGTACCTCACAAGTGTGTGGGGATGTAGGTTGTACGTCACTAGTGTGTGGGGGTGGATGGGGTGTAGTTTGTACCTCACAAGTGTGTGGGGATGTAGGTTGTACGTCACTAGTGTGTGGGGGTGGATGGGGTGTAGTTTGTACCTCACATGTGTGTGGGAGTGTAGGTTGTATCTCACTAGTGTGTGGGGTGTAGGTGGTGGGAAGTTTATAATACGTCACCATTTGTCGCGAGCTGCTTACATTCTGTAATACCACACACATATACACACATTTTGTGACCAAATTGCTGTAACAATCTTGGAACCACTTTTAAAAAATTGACTTCAGATGCCAGTAGCTGAGGGTATCGATACCACTAAAATTATCGATACCGTCCTCCAGTTTTGTTATATTTTGAAATTCAATAATTGAAATGACCTTGACCTCCGTAATTTTGCGCTTCCATCAGGTCACAGCACTCTGGGTAGGGCTCGGCTTTAGATCACGTGGTACATCACTGAGTTGGTTTGAAAGTCTTTTCTCCCCGAGGGTGGTTCTGACATGTTAGGAGGGGGGGGGTGACGTATTGATCTGCCCAGAGGTCTGGCCAAAGTTTTTATTTTACCGGTTGTTGGAGGGAGGTGGTGGGGTAGAAGATGGTATGCTGTGTGCTGCATGTAGCAGAATCACCCTCGTGTGAAATACTGTGGCATGTTGGGGCAGTGGTCTAGAGATGTAAGAATTCCAAACCCTGACCACGGCCCAAACCTCAGTCTGTTGTATAGGATTTTACACCTGTTGGTAGCACATCCCTACACATCCCCACACATCCCCACACATCCCCACATAACACTTATGTAGCACATACCCACACATCCCCACACATCCCCATACAACGCGGACGTGCATTCATTATGCGGGGAACATTTGCTCTCATTAAATATTAATTAGAATTAAACACTTGGAACAGCCATGAACGTCCACGGCAAACCGGTCCGGTCAGTCCACGGCAAACCGGTCCGGTCAGCCCACGGCAAACCGGTCCGGTCAGTCCACGGCAAACCGGTCCGGTCAGTCCACGGCAAACCGGTCCGGTCAGTCCACGGCAAACCGGTCCGGTCAGTTCACGGGCAGACTTGACCGGCTCTCACCTCCACCAAACTTGGCGAGCGGCATGGGGTGGGGGTGTACCACGTGACATGTCAATATGTTGTACCCACCGCCATGTCAACATGTTGTACCCACCTCCCATGTCAACATGTTGTACCCACCTCCATGTCAACATGTTGTACCCACCTTCATGTCAACATGTTGTACCCACCTCCCATGTCAACATGTTGTACCCACCTCCATGTCAACATGTTGTACCCACCTTCATGTCAACATGTTGTACCCACCTCCATGTCAACATGTTGTACCCACCTCCATGTCAACATGTTGTACCCACCTCCATGTTGTACCCACCTCCATGTTGTACCCACCTCCATGTTGTACCCACCTCCATGTTGTACCCACCTCCATGTTGTACCCACCTCCATGTTGTACCCACCTCCATGTCAACATGTTGTACCCACCTCCATGTCAACATGTTGTACCCACCTCAATGTCAACATGTTGTACCCACCTCCATGTCAACATGTTGTACCCACCTCCATGTTGTACCCACCTCCATGTCAACATGTTGTACCCACCTCCATGTCAACATGTTGTACCCACCTCCATGTTGTACCCACCTCCATGTCAACATGTTGTACCCACCTCCATGTCAACATGTTGTACCCACCTCCATGTCAACATGTTGTACCCACCTCCATG